TTGGCTGAAGTATTATTTAAGATGAGAACTGCAGAAGATTTTAAAAATTTGTAAAGCCAGGTTTGGTTGGGGGGGGGGGAAGGGGTAAAACCAAGCAAGGTAGTAAATGATCAGATTTGTCTTGAAAGACCATTTTGGCTGCTGCATAGACAATACAGTGGGTAGGTGGGAGACAGTTAAAAAATGTAGAAGTTGACCTAATTCTCCACACAATGTATTCCTTTCTGCAAGACAACAAATGGTTAATGCATTGGGTACTATCATTATAATGGACAGTCTGAGGTCAGGAGAAGGGTAAAGTCAAGGAAAGCATAGCTTCTGGTTTACTGACAGGAATAGGAGGTGCTTTAGGATTTCATGGTACAGAGTTAAATGGAGATGACACATGCTGACATTTCATGTAAGATTCTTGGATAGGTTTGCAGGAGGCAGGGGTGGTTTAACATTTAAAAAGTCATTCAGTTACATAGTTTATATCAAATCCTAAATTTTTCTATATATATAATGAATGATTCAGTGATTTTGATATTTTGTAAATTAGCTTTAACCTGGTTCTATATGTGATTAAAACCTTTTCAGCCTTACTTCATCTTTAGGAGATTTTGAGTCTGGTGCTTAAGGCACTTCTGCCTAAAAAGAGTCCATGAGCAACTCTACATTTTTGCTGCCATTTACTATCCTATATCTCTAATGATAAAGTTCTTGAAGGCAGTCCTGACTGGTGTGGCTCAGTGGACTGAGCACCAGACTGTGAATCAAAGGGTCCCTGGTTGGATTCCCAGTCAGGGCACATGCCTGGGTTGTGAGCCAGGTCCCCAGTAGGGGACACATGAGAGGCAACCACACATTGATGTTTCTCTCCCTCTCTTTCTCCCACCCTTCCCCTCTCTAAAAAATAAAGCTAAAAAAAAAGTTCTTGAAGACAGAGGTTTTAAGTTAATTTGTCAATGAACACTGATCAATTACTCTGCTCATCTGTAAAGAATACTGCTGTATGATTACAGGACTCCCCTAGAGACAAACATGAATCAAAAGTTGGTTTTAAGGACTAAATGAAGTCCCAAGAACATAGTTCTAGACCACTGTTTCCCTGCTTCCTCATTTCAAAAAGCAGCATGCACAGCCCTGGCCAGGTGGCTCAGTTGGTTGGAGCATCATCCTGTAAACCTAAAGATTGCAGGTTTAATTCTGGTCAGGGCACATAGCTAGGTTACAGGTTCGATTCCTGGTGGGGGCATAGGATGAGTAGCAACCAATTGATGTTTCTCTCTTTCTCTCTACAATCAGTGAATATATCTTTGGATGAGGATTTAAAAAGGAAAAGCTGCATGCATAATACTGTGAATAAATTCTCAACTTCTGCTTCAAAATTAATCAGTGCTACACACACACAGCCCATATGTTTTTCTTTTGAGGAGGGAGAGGGAAGACAGAGAAAAATTGCCTTCTGTATGGGCCCTGACCAGAAATCGAACCTGCAACCTTTTAGTGCATTTGACAATGCTCCAAACCAACTGAACCACCCAGCCAGGGCACATAGCCCACGTAGTTTTCCATAGCACCTGCAAACACTACACCTCACTTTCAATTACATGTGGTTTAATACCTTGAAGTTAATATTCCAAGAACCTATGAGAACTGTACTTGGTACAAGATAGGCATTCAGTATCTGTTGAGTAAATATGTGAATATGCTCACATTTTGAGGTTTGGACCTCTAAAGTCCAGAAAATTGACTCATTCAAGTGCAGCCCTGAATCGATGGGACTCAGTAGAATTGGTTCACACTAAGTTCACAAAACACTAATCGTTTTAAGTTACATTTCAATTTCATTTGTTTACTGTTGGCAATTTTCCTCCTTATGCAACTAAATCACAATCACATGCCTGCTTGGTAAGGGTAGAGCCAGAGAGAGAGTCTATTGAAAGAATCATCATGGCTAGTATCAAGTCAATAGGATGCCCTCATCTGTACTAGGTATCTGCCAAAAGTCTGTAAGTCAGCTTACCCTTTTCTCTGCCCAAATCTTGTTCCTTGGCCTTGCTTTATATTGCACCTACTTTCTGTTAACATTTTTAGGTGCATTGTCTTAAAACATGTTCAGGCAAGTTAATACAGATGACTGTATTACCACTTCAGAAATGTCCAGTCTTGCTTTCCTGAAACTCCACCTTGGCATAGCTGACTGGATCTTGCATCCTCTTAAGTCATCTATTTCCTATTCCTAGTTCACGTTACTGCTATGATGCTGTGGGCTTACTAATAATGTAATAAAAAGGCGTCGTTCTTTGGGACCTGGCTGTGTTAATTTTCTTTTGGGACTACCTTTTATGAAGAGAAACGATGGCCTGATAGGCAGGTTTTTCCTGGGGGGTGGGAACAGTTCTGCATAGACATGTATTCATGTGGTCACTCAACAGTTGAGTGCCTACTCTATGCCACACCCAGACTTAATTACATACAGCAGGATTTAGTCTCTCAGGATTTCTTATCTGAAATTAGACTACTAGGATGTATTTAAAATTTTTAGCTGAGGCCAAGAATGGAGCACTGGAAAGATACTGGGGTACCTCATGGCATTTAAGGAAGAGCTGGACAACTGGATCTCAAGAGAAGGCAAGAGGCAGTAAGGTGGCCTAGAAAATCATCACTTCATCAGGAGTTTGTGAGCATCACAAACTCCCTTCAGGGGCTGTCATCAGCCACCAATTCCCAGGCAGTGAAAATCTTGTTCCAAATTTTAAAGCTCTGGGAAAGAGAATCTTTCCATAAAAATTAGCTTCAAAACTTAAGAGGCTTAACATAACATCTCTCACAGATTTGTGGGTTGACTGGGCTCAGCTGGACCACTCTTGCTCGGGGTCTTCTGTGGGTGCACTGAAATGGTGCTTGGGGATGGAATCATTGAAAGATCAACCAGGATGGACGTCCAAGGTGGCTTCTTCACTCCCATGTCTGGCATCTCTGCTGGGATATCTGAAACATCCAGGGGTTAGCTGAGTATTTCTCTTCCTAAACAACCTTTCCACATGGTTATCTGGTCCTAACACTTCTTAAATGGCAGCTGGCTTCCACCAGAGTGAGCATTCCAAAAGACATGGGTGTAAGCTGCAAGGCTTGCTATGGCCTAGCATTGGGTGTCACTTTTGTCCTATTCTAATGATCAGAAATGAATCACAGGACTAGCCCAGACTCAAGAAGAGGGGACCACATAAGGGTTTGCTGGAATACCGTTCCCTAAGAGGCCATCTTTGGAGTCTAGCTACTAAGGATTTTGAATATTTCACTGGGTTACTTATATCACACCTAGGGGCAGATCTAGATTTTATATCATTTGAAGGAAATAAGATTTCGAAGGTTTTCTTGAAAAATGGAGGGCCCATGCAAGGAGAGGCCCTAAAGATAGAACTTCATTAACTTCACAGTTAATCTGCTTCTGACCCCTCTACCCAAATCAACTATGGTAAAAAAGCAAATGTGGTTTTGTGGTTTCCCACTTATACTTGTGTTCTAGGGCAATTTCTGGACAAGGAGGAATTATTGAGCTTTCCCCACTCGGCACCAGAAGTGTCCAGTGTTCAGTTCAATGTAATCTGATCATTTCAATGTCTAGGACCCAGGTCTTCTGACTTCCAACAGTATGTTTTTAAATATTAATATACTGTATTTCACAGTGGTACAAACTTTAAAAAATCTTACTCTATCCTTTCTATACTTTTTTCCCTCGGACTGTTCCTTAAACATTGACACCCTTCAAGGTTTCTTCTCATTCTATCTTATCTTCAGATGGCCTCCTAATATTCTATCTGTAGTCCAGACTTCTATAGTTCCAAACGTATAGTAGCCATTTCCATTTGGATGTCCCACAAAAATGTCGAGATCTGTGTGGCCAAAGCTTAATTTATTCCTTCTTGTGATGACAGTCACCATACATTTCCAAAAACATTTATTGAGCATGCCAGCAATTGGGAAAACAGTAAGTAGTAAAGAACATAGACAAAATTGATTTAATGTGCTGCAGACATTAAATAAATAAAGTTATTAGAGATAGTAATAAATACTATGACAAAAAACAGTGATGAGCTAGAGTAACTGTGGGAGGCTCGTTGCAGGAGGGAGATCAGCGAGGACACTTTTGCACGAGTAAATTTGCACTTTGCTGAGAAGGGGGGAAAAAGTCAATCATGCAAAGAGACGTGGGAAGAGCACTGTACGGAGAAAGTCCAAAAACAGGAAAAACCTTGGTAGCCTTAGAGGGCCTTTCATGCATCCTTTTTCTCCCCACCGTTAATATCACCTTTTTACATTAACCTCACAATACCAATTTTTGTTTCAGTCATCACACTATCGAAATCTATTTCCCACATGTCCATCTTGGCTACTTAATTGTGCGTACCTCGTGGACAGGGCTAGAGTTTATGCCTACCGCAGACCGAGTTCCGAAGATATTCTGCGAAAGAATGAATCGTGCACTGGTCTCAAGTGGCTCACAGGAAGGGAAAATCCTCGAGCACTGGGACTTTCTTCGATCCCTTCGTGACTACCGCGAGGCAAACGTGCCAGGAACTGAGTCCTAGAACCCTAGCTGAGAAAACTGCCAGGAACGCCGCCCTCTGCAGGTCCTTGCCTGGCGCCCTGCGCCCGCCGGCTTCCAGAAAGGAGTTCCCTTTCCTTACGCAGGGCTGCACGCTCCCGCCCTCGGGAACTCGATAGAGACTGGGTGGGAGTGGCGTGCGCGGGCGAAAGCCACAAAGGAGACATCCCTGCTAACTTCCCCGCAGTTACGTTTCTTCCCAAGGACCAAGTTAGCGTGGCGCCCTCCCACATCCTCTCCCAGCGCCCCTTCGCGGGATACAGAAGACTCAGCCACGCCCTCCCGCGAGACCCTCGGCTCCAGTCGCCCCGTCCCACGCCCCCTTCTCGCCCGCGCGCGCGCCGCCGCCGCCGCCAGAGGGGGCGGGGCCTGGGCCAGTGCCTACAGTCTGCCACGGTCCCAGCCTGCCCTGCGCGGGCCAACGAGAGCAAATCCAGTGACTCACCTCTGCCGCGCTAACTCCTCGCTGGCTTTACCCTCACACACGCTAACACCCGGCTCGACATGGCGGCGGCAGCGGCGGCGGCGGGGGACTCCGACTCCTGGGGTGAGGAGAAGTTCCGGGGCATGGCCCGGGCCGGTGCTGGCCCCTCACTGAGGCAGGCACTAACGTGGCTCGCTCTCTTCCGTAGACGCGGACACGTTCTCCGTGGAAGACCCGGTGCGGAAGATGGGGGGTGTCGGCACCGCGGGCGGGGACCGCTGGGAAGGCGAGGACGAGGACGAGGACGTCAAGGTGGGTGCGGGCTGGCGCCTTCGCGGGCGGGGTTGCCCACCGACGGGCGGGCGGGAGGGTGGACTCTGGGCCCAGGGGTGCCGCCCGGGCCTGAGAGCCCTGGGCTCCAGCGCGAGCTTAGGGCCCGGCGGTGCCCTCTTCCCCTCCGCTCTCCGATCCCACGGGCCGGAGACAGGCAGCATGGCCTTTCAGCCTTCCTTGGCGAGGGCGGCGGCCTCCCCAGCCCTTCTTTGTCAGTCCGCGCCCCGGCCTGGATCCTACACGCTAACCGGAGACTGAAGGTGACAGCACCGGCGGGGCCGGCCCACGTGTAAACTTCATAGTCAGGCGCCTGTCTTCGAGATGAGCCTGGCAAGTTGGGGACTGAGCCCCACGGCTTGTCCCATATGGAAAATCTTGCAGCGCACCTGCCTTTTAAAGCTCAAGTCTCCCCAGAGCCAGTCATTCTTTATGTACCCAAAGGCCCACTTGTAGAGTTTGTACAATTAGATGGGTGGAATGTTGTGGCTTAATTTGAACTATTTTTTCCCACACAAGAGAAATAAAAACAGTAATGTGAAATGACTTTTATCCTTTCTTCCCACAACCAATGGTAAAAGGATGAACTGAGTACTGACAGCCAGCAATTATTGCTCAGAAACCTGAGTAGTCCACACAGTGACCTGAAAAATGTAGAGTTGACAGTGACATTAATCTTAACACTAGATATCGAAGATTTGGTAGTTGGAGTAGAGAAGGAGCCAGTGCTTATTTTTTCCTATGCCTTGTAGATCTGAACCAGATTTACCTAAGTCGTTTTTGTTTTTGTATTTAGTAGCTTCAAAGGTCTGAAGCCCAGCATGTTAAAACTCTTATTAACAAAGTTCTCAAAACTTTTTAATATTTCTGCAGATAAAGTTTTATGTGAGTTGGAAAATGGTATTTGGTGGTTTGGATTTATTCAGAAAATATTTTACTCCTAGCTTCTGTTCTTTAGCATTTACTCAACTCTATAAGTCCTTCTGCTTGGGCTGATAATTTTAAGCTAGAAAATCATTTAACTTACTATTAATACTGCTTTCGTTTGGATTTTACCCTTTTCTCCTGAGTCTGATGAGGTGAATGTTATTTATCAAACAACCTGAGGTTCAGAAATGATGGGAGCTTTGCACACATTGGGATTATTAATCCCAATTTAATAAATGTTGTGAAGATACTTAAATGCTTCATTTACATGTTGTATAGACATGGGAATGGATTTTGTTAACCCCTTCATTTCAAGATATAAGTTACTTCCCTACATGGTAGAGGATTTTTTGTTTTGAGCCTTAGTTCAGATTTGCCCTTTCAATTTTTCTGTGTATACCTGGATGTAGCGGTTAAGACATCTGTAAATGAAAATTGGAAATAAGTTATAAAATGAGAAGAAAAGATTAGGGGAATCTGGACAAAAGTAACAGAAAATGACGTTTGAATGGAGTAGTCTATAGACTGCCTGAGATTATTGCATATAAATGGTGTCAATTCTGATAAATACAATTCTGACCACTCAGAATTAGTTTTGGAGATTTACAAGTTGTAAGGGACCATAAAAGTCATCTTGTCAAGTCACTCCTTCAGTGCACAGTTTATTTTTATACACAGTTTATTTCTGTTAAATAAACTTTGAAGTTTATCTTGGAGAAAAAGCTGAACTTGTCTGTTTTATCTCTGAGTTTAAATGTTGGTTTAATTCTGTTGCGTTTCTTCAGGATTCTCATGGTACAATATTCATGGAGTAGTTTGATTCCTGGACTCTGGAGTCTGACCTGGGTTGATATTTTTGCCTTGACATTTTCTGTGTTTGTGGTCATAAACAAGTTTTTTAATCTTGCTGTTTTAGTTTCCCAATCTGTAAATCGTTATTATAGGAGCTGGGGAGGGGTGTTATTTTACATTTTAAATGAGATAGTACAGGAGGCATTAAGCAAAGTTGGCACTCAATAAAAGTTAAATTCACTCTTAAAGGTACAGTCTTACTTTTTCGGGCTAATGGACAGTGTGCTTAGGCTGTTCAGACCTAGTGCTTTGTGCCAAAGTTTTCATTTCCTAAGCTCAGGGGTAACTTCTCTCCACAGTGGCTATTTACTGTGAATTTTGTGTTTTGAATGCAACGACCATGTTTATGAAACAAGTTTTTGCTTGCTCAAAGGTTATCAGTCTGGAGTTGAAGCTTGCCTCCTTGGATGGTAGTAATACCAAATTTCTGAATTCTAATGTTTTAGTACCTAATCGTTTCTTAAAGAGATGCAAAGTGTAGTTCCCTTGAGATTGAGTAAGTCATAGTCCTTAATACAATATGAGAACTTTTAAAAAGTCTTCAGAAGAAACAGTAAGTTATTCAGTTTACATCAGTATCTAGTGTTTAACCTTTAAGAATATAGATTTAATGTCATTTGTAATATCCTGAGAAATGAAAGGAGAACTGATATCTTTGTTGCAGTAATTTACTCCCATAGTTTACAATATTTCAGTAGACATTGTAGCATTTTGCTGTGCTTGACTTTTCAGTAGCTGTGTGGCAATGGCAGAATTGGATTTAGGTAAGATTGTAGGATTGTTTAATACTCATGGATTTATTTTATTTTTCTTACTATACTGATGTTATGTAGAGGCAGTGGGAGGCATTATTCACTTGGTATATATCACTGGACTCTCCCCATTGCTGAAATGATGTGTAGGCTGTGTTGGCAAGAAGGTAGTGAGTATCTACCCACTGCAAGCAGGGGCAAATACAACTTTTTCTGCATTTTACTAGTCTCCCAGCTCTTTAATAAAACAGACTAGAAGCTAGACTTATTCAGAGGATGTAGAATTTATTTTGAGACAACTGCTCCTGGTTGTATACAGGCATTTGCTTGAATAATGTTGTTAATAAATTTTTTTAAATATTTTATTTATTTATCTTTAGAGGGGAAGGGAAGGAGAGAGGGAGAGAAATATCAATGTATGGTTGCGTCTCTTGGGTCCCCTGCTGGAAACAGGGTCTTGGGTCCCCCTGCTGGAAATAGCCTGCAACCCAGGCATGTGCCTTGACTGGGAATTGAACCGCGATCCTCTGGTTCGCAGGTCTGCGCTCAATCCACTGAGCTACACCAGCCAGGGCTAGAATTTCTTTTAAAAATCCTGGAGAACTGACTTAGTTGAAGACTGGCCTCATCTTACCCATTGAACCATCTTGTAGGAACGTATATGGGTTAATAGCTTAAATCTACCACAGCAAAGGACATTTTTCAAGCATTGGAAATAGCACTTCTGAAGAAGGGGATCTATATTTCAGAGAAATGGGAAATTGTTGGGAAATACTCAGAAGGTGGGCATTTTGCCAGAAAATGGGTATCTTGAAGTATATGTGTAACTTCTTAGGAAAAATTCCAAACATATACAGAAGTAGAAAGAAAAGGTTAATAAACTCATGGCCAATCTTCTTTCTTCTATATCCCCACTTACTGCTTTCCTCCTCCAACCAGGTTATTTTGAAGAAAATCCCATTTATGTCATTTCAATCCCATTTATGTCATACCCTGACTTTCTAAAAAAAGATTTTATTTATTTATTTTTAGAGAGGGGAAGGGAGGGGGAAAGAGAGGGAGAGAAACATCAGTGTGTGGTTGACTCTTGTGTGCCCCCTGCTGGACCTGGCCCACAACCCAGAAATGTGCCCTGACTGGGAGTCAAACTGGAAACCCTTTGGTTCCCAGTCCAGTGCTCCTTTGGTTCACAGTCTGCGCTCAATCCACTGAGCCACACCAGCCAGGGTAATACCCTGATATTTTTTATTAGTGTAAGTTTTTAGTAAGGAAGCATATCTGTTACTGAAAAATACATAGTTTATTGTAATGTTGGAACACTGAAAGTAAATAAGCCACTTGTTTCGAATTCAGTGTCTTGATTGTGATCTTCCTTACCTGGGAACAAACATATTAGATAGGTAGGCATTGAGATAGAATTCAACTAAGTGCTGGGCCATACATAATAGGATGTTAAAAACTTAGTGAAATTAAATTAAGTGAATGACTGGGCTTTCAGAGAGCAGCAGAGTTCTGAGATGGTGGAAGGACATTTTTACTTCTTTTAATTAATTAATTAAATTTGAGATAGGGGAAGGGAGCAAAATATTTATTTATTTATTAGAGATAGGGGAAGGGAGAGAGAAACATCAATGGGCTGCCTCTGGTATGTGCCCTGACTGGGGACCGAACCTGCAACCCAGGCATGTGCTCTGACTGGGAATTGGTGACTTTTCGCTGTGCGGGGCTGGGCTCAACCCACTGAGCCACACTGGTCATGGCTGAACTTGCTTTAAAAATTGAATTTTGCTGAGAAGTCCAGCTTTGCCAGAGGCCTCAAAGTCAGTACAATTTACAAAACACCAACCAGTAAAAGGCTCTTTTCCTGCAAGAGATTATGCTTTATCTAAACCAAACTACTTAAAGAAAAAGAGGAAGGAGTGTATGTTAGTGGGCTATGGAAATGGGGCAGAAGAATTTTACTGCTCTTTTGAAGCTACTTCTATTTGACAATCTATAAATATATCTTGCTTAAGTTGGAAAGCATTTTCAACACTAAAAGTGTTCTCTTATTGCATGTGATGTTCTGTAGTTGTATATTATAAAAATGACTAACCAACTAGCTGCATTGTTAGAAATAAAAAGAAAGCAGGATTAAAAATTATTTTGTTCTGTTTTCAATTGGGAAGCAGTTTTTAAACTTGAAAAGCAGCCATATCTTTCAGAGCAATGGCTGAAATGATATTTATTGGGTGTGTATCTGTAGAAGAAGAGTATAGTTAAGCAAGTAGTTTATAAACAGCCTCTTTTCTAAGCAAGCTAGCCATTTTAGGAGAACAGCTTGGCTGATCTTTTGGAGATGAATTGGACATAATAATTGGAAGATTTATTGGGACCTAACATAATTAGGGTAAGGAATTGGATATTGATAGCTCTTCTCTTGAAACAAGTAACCATTTAAGGCATACTCCCTATTTTAAATTTTAATTTTAGGTGTTGCTCTAGGCATCCTTTTTGTGTTTTATCTGGATTTGTTGTCAGCATTTATGAAGTTCTAGTGTTTACAGAAAATTGGACAGATTTAGACAATTCTACCTTATATTTACTTTTAGGGTACTTTGCAAATTTTATAACTAAGGACACAAAAACTCTCAAGTTTCTGGTGAAAGCTACCTGGCCTTTCACTATTGGGATTATATCTGTTTGGAAGTGTGACCAGTCTCTTTTTGCTGATATTACTGTGCTCTCTCCTTTAGGAATTTGTCACCAGTATAGTAGTAAACTTCAGGGCAGACTTGCATCTGAGCACTCTTGGGTAAGGGTGACAGAAAATGCATCCTTTCCAGTGGTCCTTTTATGAACTGAGGAGTATATGTCAAGGTTGTTTCTAGGACTTATAGCTAACACTGCTTTTGCTACTAGAACCTTCTTTTATGGAGGTCTAGGTAATCTTATTGTGTCTGGCTGATAGGACAGCTTAACTTGACTGTCTGGGGTAGGGTTTTTGCTTTGATGGGGAAACCAGAGATGGATAGAGGTGTGGGACATAGTGTGATTGAGATACCTAGGGAGCAGTGATATGGTAGGGTGGGGGGTGATGTTTTACCAGGAAAGGGAACTGAGGAGCAACAATATTGAACAAAAATGCTTTGTTGCATCTGTTTCTCAATTTTTGTAATTTTTGGAATGGAACTGCTCATTTTAAGCCATACTTCTCCCTTCTTAGCCTTCTAGTACTTGAGGTACTAGAGTAGTTTTTTAAAGTTAGTATAAAACCATCACTGGCAATTTGAGATGGGTAACTGATGTAGCTGTAGCTGGGCATATCTTCTTAGTATGTACATAACCCTTCTCTTTGATGAGCTCCCCTGTTCTTCCAGGGTAGCTCATTCAGAACTAATTGAAAGAACAGTTTTGGTGAGGACAGACCTGTCTCCCAGATAGTTATTTTATACTTTAGGATTTAAGTAAGTAATCGTGTTTACCATACTTTAAAGGAATTTGGCCCATTCAGAACAGGTTCCTTCATTATTTTTCACTGACATTGTTGGGTACCTGTCTCTGGGTCTTAGTGTCTTTGTAAAATAGGGATAAGACCACCTTACTTAAAGGACTTTTGTGAGGGTTACTGTATTACTTATATATAAAGCCCTTTGCACAGTGCCTGGTACAAGTAAACTCTCAGTAAATGCTCTCTATTTATCATCATCATTATCAGAAGTGAATTGTAAATATGTACTCCTAGGAAATAAGCAAATGGTCTTCCTATTGAAGCACTGCCCAAGTCTCATACCACTCACAGACCCAGCTCTCCTATGTTCTTTGGAGATTAAAACAACAAAATACCTGGTGGTTAACTATTTTCCTTTTTCTTTATTTTAGAGAGAGAGGGAGAAACAGGCAAGTTCTTACTGTTCTGCTTGTAGACCTTCATTAGGATTTATTGTTCCTTTGGTGGACTTACAGATTTTTATTAAGAATAAAGGCTTGGTTAGTTTATATCCCTAGACTGATTGAGATTTATGATCTGTCTTGTAAAACTAGAAGCTTGGTGTCACAGGTAAGGCACATTAGTAAGTCTCTGCATCTTCCAGTAGTATTAGGGCCGCCTGCTCCGCATCTGCCATCTTGTGGCTCAGCTTCAAATGGTGTGTTACAGTGTACTTACACAATGACCAGGCTACCTGTATACTAAAGCACTATTTAAACACAGGGTTGAGCATGTCCTTATCAAACTTAACCCTTCTGAATTCTGTGGAGCCTTTAGAAAATTGTTTGATAATTGGTTTATTTTTAGCTCATTGACTGTGTTAGGCATAGAAAAGACAGAGTATAGATCCACCTTAAAGTGCTCTGCCCAAGTTAGGGAATGTGTTCCATGTACTTGTTTAACAGTTCTTGAATCCTTTTAAATACTAAGTGTGGGAAACTGTTTATTCTTGTGTTATTAATTATATTATTTTCCATATGACCAACTGTAAACCCATTTTCCCCCCTCCCTGCACTGTATTATATAGATTTAATTCAGTAACCACAGTTGTGTTATATAAAATATTGCTTGAAATAATTGAGCCAATGGTTAGGATGTTGGATGTTTTTATATTTGGGAATGTGAGAAGTATAAACTTCTTATTTTTTCATTTTAAAACAGCTGAATTTAAGAGAGACTGTTGGCTTGGTTGTCTTGTGTTTTAATTTTTTTAAAAATATTTATTGATTGATTTTAGAGAGGAAAGGGGAGAGAGGCTAGAAGGAGGAAGAGACAGAAAGATCAGTTTGTTATTCCACTTACTTATACTTTCATTGGTTGCACCTTGTATGTGTGCTCTGACCTGGGATTGAAACTGCAACCTTGGCATATCAGGACAATACTCTAACCAACTGAGCTAACCGGCCAGGGCCTGGATTTGAATTGTTAATGGAGAAGCTTTTTTATGAAATTTGACAAGTTGATATAAAAGCTCACATGGAAAAACAAACAGGCAAGAATGGCCGGGAAAACACTAAAAAACCTGAAAACCTACAAGAGGAGACTAGCCCTAACCTACATAAAAACATACTATAAAGCCAATGTAATTAAAGCAATATGGTATTGGTTTTGAAGAGACAGACCAGTGGGATACTATAGAATGCAGAAATAGACCAGATACTTATGAAAATAATAGCATATGTTAAATGATGGGGCAAAGGAGGATTTTCTTTTTAAGATTTTATTTATTTTTAGAGAGGGGAAGGGAGGAAGAGGGAGAGAAACAGTGTTTTGCGAGAGATACATCAACCTGGGACCTGGCCCCCAATGTCCCCCAGGCATGTGCCCTGACTGGGAATCAAACCAGTGACCGTTCAGTTTGCAGGCTTACACTCAATCCACTGAGCCACACCAGCCAGGGCCAAAGGAGGATATTTTAATAAATGATTCTGTGACAATTAGGTAACCATTTGGAAGAAGATAAAATTAGATCAAGGCTTCACGTTATACCATAGAAACTCCAGATGGATCAGATATCTAAATGAAAAAACAATGAAATCATACATATTATAGAAGAAAATTCTTTGCTGTAAGAAAATGAAGCATCAGTGAAAGAAAAGATTGATAAATTTTACTGCATAAATGTAGTGGGGTGCATGGCACATCATGGGGAAACATGAGAGGCATTTCCTTTAGGAGAACAGCAGGGCAATGATGCCCATTATTTCTACCTCTATTCACATTGTGCTCTAGAGATTTAGCCAGTACAATTCGATAAAAGAAATCAATTGTGGAGACAAAAGAATTGGTAAAGAAGTAAAACTATCTCTTGTTTGCAGATGACATGGTAGTATACCTTGAAAACCCTAGAGAATCAATGATAAAACTAATTTAATAAATGAAATCAATAAGGTAGCAGGATATAAAATTAACATACAATTAACCAATGTTACCCCAATAAATTCAATTAAAAAGTTTAGAAAAAACCCAAAAAGCCCTAGCCAAGTAGCTCAGTTGGTTAGAGTGTTGTCCTAATACATCAAGGTTGCAGGTTCATCTCCAGTCAGAACACAAACAAGAAAGCAATCAGTGAATGCATAAATAAGTGGAACAACAAAGTGATGTCTGTCCCCCACCCCTAGAATCAATTAAAAAAATACTAATAGCTTTTCTATATACAGATAACCAATGAGAGGACATAAAAGGAGGAAAAACTATTTATAGTAGTAATGCAGAACATAAAATACTCGGGAATAAATCTAAAGAGAAATGTGAACACTTCTAAGAGAAAAACTTTAAAACACTCCTTGGGAGATATAGAAGTTAACTGGAACAAATGAAAAGAGCTCTTTGTTGGTGAGGGTAGCTCAACATGATAAAAATGTCAGTTTTCTGCCCTGGCCTGCGCGGCTCAGTTAGTTGGGCATTGTCCTGCAAAGTGGAATGTCACAGGTTGGATGCCCAGTTAGGGCACACACCTAAGTTGCAGATTCTGTTCCTGTCTGGGAGCATATGGAAGGTAACTAGTGGATGTTTCTCTTTCACATCAATGTTTCTCTCCCTCCTTTTCTCTTTTTCTTCCCTTCTCTAAAATCAGCCAGTAAACAAAAAGATAGATATCAGTTCTCCAACATTAATTTATAAATTTAATGCACTGCCAAAAAATACCGACAGTTTTTCTATGGTGTTATACAAGTAGATAATAAAGTTCACATGGAAAACTGAACATGCAAGAATTATTAATGGAGTTTCTTTTCTTTAGGATAACTGGGATGATGATGATGATGAAAAAAAAGAAGAAGCAGAAGTAAAACCAGGTGAGCCACTGGGGTTTGCCCATTTTTGGTTTTATGTCTTGATGAGCATGTGGTGCTTTGTTAATGAGAAAATGCTCATAAAATTGAAAATTTGGGTATTTAGAAACCAAACATCATTCCATTCCTACTTTATTTTCTTCTCCCTGCATTTCTTCTCTCCTCTTACAACATAATCGGATTAGATACCTACTGTTTTTGTTTCTGAATTATTGTTAGGAGAGAGTAAAGCGTATGGCATCATAGTTCAGTGATCTCAGTTCTGCCTAGAGGACAGGGGAAATGTGAAGGGAGATGTTTGGATCTTAGGGGTCAGGTTGGAGAGGAAGACAGCAGAGTCCCCTGAACATTCTCATTCTTTACTTGCCAGGAAATTACCATATGAAATGGAGCTGGGAGATGTTTGGTCTCTTGAAGTACACAAATATATCTGTCTCATCTATATGCTGGAAAAGATTCAAAATTAATTAACTAATGATTATTTTTAAATATTTTATTTATTTATTTTTAGACAGAGGGGAAGGGAAGGAGAAAGACAGGGAGAGAAACATCGGTGTGTGGTTGACTCATACAGCCTGGCCTACAACCCAGGCATGTGCCCTGACTGGGAATTGAACCAGTGACCCTTTGGTTCACAGGCTGGCACTCAACCTGTGGAGCCACACCAGTGAGAGCTCAAAATAATTGATTTAAAAACTTCTTTAGCCCTGGCTGGTGTAGCTCAGTGGATTGAGCATGGGCCTGTGAACCAAAAGATCGCAGTTCAATTCCCCGTCAGGGCACATGCCTGGGTTGCAGGCCAGTTCCCAGCAGGGACCAGTTCCCAGCAGGGGATGCACCAGAAGCAACCATACATTGATATTTCTCTCCTTCTGTCCTTCCCTTCCTTTCTAAAGATAAATAAATTAAATAAAATAATAATAATAAAAATAAAAATTACTTTCAGAAGTAAAAATTTCAGAAAAGAAAAAAATGACAGAGAAGATAAAAGAGAAAGAACGGCAACAGAAGAAAAGGCAAGAAGAAATTAAAAAGCGGGTAAGTACTGCTAATTTTCAAAAATACAGAATTCTCACATCAGTAGTGGTAACAGTGTCTTAACAGGCAGCAAATATTACCTGGCAATTTGTGTGGCTTTGTAAAGACTTTAAATGGACATCATTAGATATGAGAATCCCAAAACTAAATGTGTGGTTTTTTCCAAAAACCAAACCCTCAGAAGCTTTGTACATTACAATGCCTTTTAAGTTTTCATAAACACTTGGGAACAGTGTGACTGTGTAATGACCATGGTAAGTGATTTTTTTTTACTTGTACCTGTAGTTCTTTTTTTTTTTTAATTATATTTTTAAAATATATTTTATTTATTATGCTATTACAGTTGTCCCATTTCCCCCCCTCTTCATTCCCCTCCACCCTGCACACCCTCTCCGACCCACATTCCCCCACTTTAGTTCATGTCCATGTGTCCTAAGTTCTTTAGCTTCTACATTTCCCATACTACTCTTACCCTCCCCCTGTCTATTTTCTATCTACCATCTGTGCTACTTATTCTCTGTACCTTCTACCCCACTCTCCTCCTCCTACTCCCCTGTTGCTAACCCTCCACGTGATCTCCATTTCTGTGGTTCTTTCCTTCTAATTGTTTAGTTTGTTTTTGTTTTAGGTGTGGCTATTAATAATTGTGAGTTTGCTGTCATTTTACTATACATGGTTTTTTATCTTCTTTTTCTCAGATAAGTCCCTTTAACATTTCGTAAAATAAGGGCTTGGTGATGAGGAGTGGTTTAACTTGACCTTAATCTGAGAAGCATTTTATCTGCCCTTCCATTCTAAATGAAAGCTTTGCTGTTTAGAGCAATCTTGGATGGAGGTCCTTGTCTTTAATGACTTGAATAATTTTTCCCAGCCCCTTCTTGACTGCAAGGTCTTTTTTGAGAAATCAGCTGACAGTCTGATGGGAACTCCTTTGTAGGTAACTGTCTCCTTATCTCTTGCTGCTTCTAGAATTCTCTCCTTCATTTTTATCTTGGCTAATGTAATTATGATGTGCCTTGGTGTGTTCCTCCTTGGGTCCAACTTTTTTGGGACTCTCTTAGCTTCCTTGACTTCCTGGAAGTCTATTTCCTTTGCTAGATTGGGGGAGTTCTCCTTTATTATTTGTTCAAGTAACTTTTCCACTTGTTGCTCTTCCTCTTCCCCTTCTGGTACCCCTATAATTTGGATGTTGGAATGTTTAAAGGTGTCCTGGAGGTTCCTAATTCTCTCCTCATTTTTTTGAATTCTTGTTTCTTCATTCTTTTCTGTTTGGTTGTTTCTTTCTTCCTTCTGGTCCACTCCCTTGATTTGAGTCCCAGTTTCCTTCCCATCACTACTGTTTCCCTGTGCATTTTCCTTTATTCACTTAGTGTAGCCTTCATTTTTTCATGTAATTTGGGACCAAACTCAACCAATGCTGTGAGCATCCTGATTACCAGTGCTTTGAACTGTGCACCTGATAGGTTGGCTGCCTCTTTGTTGCTAGGTTGTATTTGCTGTGGAGCTTTGATCTGTTGTTCTTACGTTTGGGCCATTTTTTTTTGTCTTGTCACGTCTGTTACATAGGTGTTCACCAGGTTGGGGGCAGCCCAGTTGCTGGGTTGTGACACTGTATGTGGGGGTGGGGTCCTAGGGGGAACAATGGCTTTTGCTGCGCTCTCTGTCGGATTTCAGTCCCTTCCGCTGTTTTCCCCAACCAAACTGGACCCTTCTTGTGCTGATTCCTGTGTGGGTGGGCTTGTGTATGTTCTAGGACTCTGTGGGTCTCTCCAGCTAACTCTCCTATGAGGATAGGAGTCTCTCCCTGTGCCTCAAGCTCCACAGGTGTTTTCAGTCGGTTTCTTGAGGCTTTATTTCCTGGCACTGGGACCCTGGGTTGCGTGGTCTGTCTCACTCCCCAGTTTTGCCTGTTTTATCTGTGTGCAAATATGGGTTTGCCCAGTCAGCCAGCCAGCCAGTACCTCGTGCGCGGTGCCCTGCTTCACAGTCGCTGCCTTGCTGGGTCTGCCCATTGCCACCTTGTGCCCAGGGTCTGCCTGCTGCCATCATGTACACCTGTGGTGCCTTTCGTGCTCGGTGCCACCGCTTTTTGTGCTGTGACCCCTCTCTGCTTGGCCGCTGACTTGGCCTTGCCTTCCCGTCTGGATGAATGTGTCTATTTTAATTCCTCAGTTGTGTGACTTCCATACAGTTCAATTTTCTGTCAGTTCTGATTGTTATTTTGTTTCTAAATTGTTGTTGTTCTTATTTTGGTTGTGTGAGGAGGCACAGTATGTCTACCTGTGCCTCCATCTTTGCCGGCAGTCTGTAGTTCTAATTGTGATTAGTCTTTATTTGCAGTGTACGTATTGAGTGAAATACAAAAAACGTCCATTCTTTTGCCGTGTACTGTGTGTTTTTCTTTGAATATTTCGAGCAGGATCAAGAATCTTGTATTCATTTGTCTTTTGAATAGAAAACACATTTACGTGATTCAGAAATTAAAGCAGTACTAAAGAAGCACTCCCAATCCTTCACTATTCATCTTGTTTCTCTTCCTCTATCCCTCCCATAAGTAAATACTGTTTTTTTATGTCTCCATGGTGCCTTTATGCATTTGGATACAACTGTATATTCTTGTTCTTTTTTTAAAGATAGTTTTCACCTCACTGTATTTAATATATTATGGAAATCCTTCCATAGCAGGTCATAGGCAGTTTTTTTCCCTTGACTTTTCATTAAGAAAAACTTCACACATAAAGTAAATAAAATAGCATAATGAGTAATTATGCACATCACAGTTGTTAATATTTTGGCATATTTGCTTCATCTACTTTTTCCAGCAACATCAACAAGTAACAAATCTTATGCATTTTTTCTGTTATCCCCAAATGGAGTGCTTTAGAAGTAATGCTGTGCTGTGTGCTTCATAATGCATCACATCAGTAATGTCTGTCCTGTTTTTAGTGATGCTGAAACTGATCACTGGGTTAAGGTAGAGATAGCTGGATACTTCTCATAAAATTACACATTGCTTCTGGCAAGTAATCCAGCTTCATGTCAGCTTCTCACCTAATAGTTTTATATCATTGAACATTGCCTAATTATTTCATTAGGTATTGCAGAAAGGTGCTTCTTCTCATTTAGTGATTTCTCTTCCTTAATGTACTGCCTGGTTATTTTTTTTTCTATTTGGTTACTTTGGATATGGTTTGTAATATAAAGGCAGAGTAAAAACTTAATTCTTTTCTTTTTTAATTACCAATTTTCAGAGTAAGGAGAGGTTATAACAGCTTTAAGTGCTGAAAAGTGAGGGATTTTGTGGATTTTTTAATTTTTAAATTTATGGGCTTACAGGTTTTTATAAATTCATTTTTTTTTAGATTTTATTTATTTATCTTTAGAGGGGAAGGGAAGGAGAGAGGGAGAGAAATATCAATGCATGGTTGCCTCTCCTGCGTCCCTGCTGGGAACTGGCCTGCAACCCAGGCATGCACCCTAACTGGGAATTGAACCGAGACCCTTTGGTTCACAGGCCTGTGCTCAGTCCACTGAGCTACACAAGCCAGGGCTAAATTCATTGTTTTACTAAGATACAGTAGTTTTTTGATGCTCAGATTGTCCGAACTTTGGCCAGTAGGAGTCCCTTTAAATAGTTCCTATATTCATCCTTTTGACAGAACCCCATTAGTCTTTGAAAGATTCCTTGTTGTCTGGTGCAGTAAGATGTGCCAGGATCACCTGATAAACTGTCCTTCTTAAGTGTGGAATCAGCTACTCCTCTGGGATTTCTTTTAGTGGGAAATAATATTTAGAGGACACAGCTAGGTACTCCTAGTACTTACTACAATATTATTGTGATAGCCTTGTCATCTTCACCGTTTTTCATGGATTAAGCTAGGAAAGTGTGTATGTGTGTATAATCATTAGTTCATATCAACATTTTCTCTTATTCTTACAATGAACACAATTGTATTTTTAATTATTTATTTATTTTTATTGATTATGCCATTACAGTTCTATTCCCCCCTTCATTCTCCTCCACCCTACCCCCCATCCCCACCATTACCCCCCTTTAGTTTATGACCATGTGTCTCAAGTCCTTTAGATTCTATATTTCCCATGCTATTCTTGCCCCCCCATCTATTTTCTTTCTACTGTCTATGCTACTTATTTTCTGTACCTTCTCCCCCTATCTCCTTCTCCCACTCCCTTGTTGCTAACCCTCCTTGAGATCTTCATTTCTATGTTTCCACTCCTGATCTAGCTGTCCTTTTAGTTTGCTTTCATTTTAGGTGTGGTTGTTAATAACTGTGAGTTTGTTGTCCTTTCACTGTTCATGTTTCTTTTAACTTCTTTTTCTTAGATAAGTCCCTTTAACATTTCATATAATAAGGGCTTGGTGATGATGAACTCCTTGAATTTGATCTTATCTGAGAAGCACCTTATCTGTCCTTCCATTCTAAATGAAAGTTTTGCTGGATAGAGCAATCTTGGTTGTAGGTCTTTGGATTTCATGACTTGGAATACCTCTTTCCAGCCCCTTCTTGCCTGGAAGGTCTCTTTTGAGAAATCTGCTGACAGTCTGATGGGGACTCCTTTGTAGGTGACTGTCCCCTTAGCTCTTGCTGCTTCTAGGATTCTCTCCTTCATTTTAATTTTTGCTAATGTAATGATGATGTGCCTTGGTGTGTTCCTTCTTGGGTCCAACTTCTTTGGGACTCTCTGAGCTTCCTGGATTTCCTGGAAGTCTATTTCCTTTGCCAAATTGGGGAAATTGTCCTTTATTATTTGTGCAAATAAGTTTTCCACTGCTGGCTGTGCCTTTCCCCTTTCTGGTACCCCTATAATTCGGATATTGGGGCGTTTAAAGATGTCCTGGAGGTTCCTAAGCCTCTCCTCATTTCTTTGAATTCTTGCTTCCTGACTCTTTTCTGTTTGGCCATTATTTGCTTTCTTCTGGTCCACTCCATTGATTTGAGTCCCAGTTTCCTTTTCATCGCTATTGGTTTCCTGTGCAA